AGGCCCCTTCATTATGACAAGTGCTCCTTTAGAAACTTTGAGCACATTGTTATTAGAGTAAAACTTGTAGCCTTGTGACTTGCGAGTGCATAGTGAGATCGAATTTTTCTTCAGATTTGGGACGTACCTTACACCATGCAATTCTCGAATCACACCATCATAATGCTTGATCCTAATGCTTCCAATTCCTTGAGTTGTACATATGTTATCATCTCCCATATACGTAATTCAAATCATAACTTTGAAGCTTGAAAACCAATGCCTTTGAAAAGTCATGTGATGGGTACAACCTGTGTCGATCGCCCACTTTTTCATATAATCCACAGTGCTCGATGCTGTTAGGGTATAAACAAATTCCTCATCCTCGACTTCAATCATATTTTGTTCTGAGTCATCCTTCTTCTTTCATGTGATGGGTATAGTCTTTTATTTGATTTTAAGGCAGTCCTTCTTCCAATGTCTTTTTTCATGACAAAAAGTACACTCTTCTTTGTCAAAGAACTTCCTATTCTTTGAGACTCCTATAGTATGAAACCTACTATTTTTCATGTACGAACCTTTCTTTTCTTTCGATCTCCCTTTTACCATCAAAGCTTTAGAGTTATTCATTTCTTGCCTATTAAGGCGTCTCACATCATGATTCATAAGAGCACTTGAGATTTCATCATACTTGATTGTCTCCCTGCCATAAATCCAAGTAGTCATGAAAGGCTCATAGGTTTCAGGCAATAAGTTTGTCAGGATCAATGCCTTGTCTTCATCTTTGATTATCTCTTCAAGATTTTCCAGTTCAGCTAGAAGCTTGTTAAACTCTTCTAGATGGCCAATCATCTTCGTGCCCTCTTTGTACTAGAACCTGTAAAACTTGCTCTTGAGATGCAATCAATTCTTTGCACTTTTCTTCATATATTTTGTCTCTAATGCATTCCACAATTCTTTCGTATAAGTGATGTTCATCACACCATACTTCTATTGCTTTCCCAAGCATAGCTAAATTGTAGAACATGCATGAGCATTCAATCTTTCCCATTTCTTTTTTCATCGAAAACGGCATGTCTCCTAACACAACAACCAAACCTTGTTGTTTCAGGACATCTCGAACCTCACATTGCCATATAGCAAAGTTGTTCGTTCCATCAAATTTCTCAATTTCAAACCTAGCACTCTGAACCGTCATCTTGGTTCCACTAGTGCTAGACTTTTCTTCAACATCATCACCACTAGTAGAATCACTAGTCTTTGTCATTGCTTGATATTATTGTGATTGACAATAATTTTATATTAATTTTATCATTCATGAGAGTCGAACTTAATATCTCTTAAATAAAAATAAAAAATAATACCATTGAAGTTAATTGACAACATGAAATAATTGGTCTGAGTGAATAAGTTTATTTATATTTTTTTAAGTTAATGAAGTATCTCTGATAGAAGCTTAATACAATACGGAAGAAGTACAAAGGAAAATCCACAAGACAATTCGTTAGGATATAATTTCATTTATTTTCTCCTAATAAGGAAAATAATAAGTGGACAAAGAAGACCCAACGAACCAAACAACAACACAAATAAAGGCCTTTGTCTTCCATAAAATGCATGCCTTTTTTTCTGGTGCAAAACAGTCTCTTGTGACTTTAGCTCACATCACAAAAGAATAAAAAACAGAAGAAAGAGAAATAATTAAATAAATAAAAGATTCTTTGTGTGAATTATATATACGTAGCACTATCAAGTTAATGGAGATTTGACGTACGTGGCAGGTAGCGCATGAATGTGGCGTCATACGAGAGAGAGAGAGAGAGAGCAAAGTGTTCAAGCCTACGTCTACGGATCATTTTCTTCTAATCCATTAAGTTCATGATTCGAATCATTGAAATTTAATTCAACAGTTAAAATTATTATAACTTTTAAAATTAACTCCTGTTTGTAGTCGATAGATCAAATTTTAATGGCTTGAATTCTCAAACTTGATGGAGTAGAAGAAAGGATCAGAAGATGATCCCTTTCCGTAGAAGAAGAAGCAGAGGTGGCCACGAATTTGGGGTATATATATTCCCACGGGTGACTTGTGACTGAGCCAAATTGGGTGAATTTTTCCCCCACTCTTGCATGTGAAGTTGCAATGTAGTTCTTGTGAAACTTGTCACTATAATCCACCTACCACTACAAGAAAAGTTTGTATATCTGAATCAGGTCAATTCATCAAAAATAGTTTGATTGTTAATTTCATCTAAGTTCGAATTTGAAGAAGTTAAAGTTTCGTCATAAAATTAATGATTGAAGTTTCGCCATAAAATTAACTAACGATATGAAGAGTAACTTAATTACTTATAAGTATACTTAAGGTCGTTTCTTTCTCCGATATGAGATTAATACTCTCAACACACATTCTCACGTGTGATGAATTTAAGCTTAATACTTGAAGAAAACAAATTGGGTGATGTAGAGCACGTGTGGGTCGTTGAGTTTCACATGCAATTCTTTCTATAATGCAAGGCTAATCCTCGCAACAAAATTTATTTTTAAAAATTAAAGTAGTTTAAATGATCACTTGTATAAAGAAAATAAAATATTAAAAAACTTGTAATTTGTTTTAGTATGATGGTACAACTTTTTTTTTTTAAATAAATGATGAAATAATTTATGCTAAATTCATCAAAACTACGTGAAAAATGATTTAAACTTTGGCACATATTAAAAAGCATAATGAGTTTAATCAACTTGATTAAATTCATACATGTGTACAGTGACACAACTTATAACTTATTCATTTTAACGATTTTTTTATGACGTCATGCATGGGGCAAACTTTTGTTCATGTAAAACGTGGGTCTCCATGCATCACAAAGTTAAAAAACATAAAGCTTAGCAGACTAACTAAGAGTTGAGTTACATCGAAAAAATATTACAAATTTTGAGATTGAAATTGCAATATTTTGTACTATACGATGCAATGCGAAATTTGGTGCATATCTTTTATCAGATACTTAGCATGTTGTGTAGTTAATCCATAATTAATTACATATGTAGATATACTTAAATATAATCAATCAATAATTTTGATTGACAAAATCCAGACGTACCACATGTTGGATTTCGATGTGGTAGTGTGATGGCAGAACATTTCCTTGTCTTGTTGAAGAATGATTGCACGGAATTAATGACATGAATTAGACACGTTGATGTGATTAAAGGATTTTTAAACTGCAAATAATGCAAATTATGTTGAACGAAAACAAGAGAGAAGGGAGATTAGTAGATTAGTATTAGCAAATAGCAAATCAAATGGACAACCAAACAATCAACCACAAAACTCCAAAAATGTTGCCATCATGCTACAGTATAAATTATGATGACTCAAACAGCTAATAATAATTATGTTAAAAGTTAAATATTATGGGTGCTTTTGGATAAGTGTTTGTTAATTTTGTGATTTTAGATGTGGGTTCCTGGATGCTGGGGTAGACAATTATGGATGGCCCAAATTAAAGCTCAATTTTTAAGCCTAGTGATGATGGTGTTGTCTCAACGAAAAAATAAAATTATTCAGTACTACAGTCTCATAGTATTTTGTATTATTTGTATATAAAAGATGTTAAGTTCGAAGTTCTGAAATGACGAGTTTCTAAAGCTCTTAGGCACGTAATAATTACAGATTAGATATGTGCCTCTACAAAAGTGTATTCAATCGAAGTTAGTTATATTAAGATATTGTGAATCAGTTTTGAGGTCAACATGTGATCAATAATTTATGAGCCTTTCTTATGAAATTCTCAAAACTTAGCCACGTTTTTTTTCTTGTAAAATCATAATAGTTGAATTTGTAAATGAAATATTTTTTTTTAGTATATCGATATTTTTACATTAGGGAAGGGGGAGTTCAGCTAAACTACATAATTGGCAGCCTAATTTGGTATCGAATTCGCCATCCATGAAATTTGAACATAAGACCTCTCACTTCTAAGTGAAGAGGAATACTACCAGACCGTAATATTGAGTGACTTTCGTAAATGAAATTAGATCTAGTAAAAATGCTCTATGTGCAAGAAATAGACAACGTGGCAATTTTTTTGATTTTTTTTTTGAACAAAAAATATAATCTACATTAAGGAGGAGGAGGATGCAGATGGGGTTAGCCTCACAATAGGCTAGCAATAAGGTGGTTCAAATTCATCTTTGGTGAGAATCGAGCCTAAAATAGTAAAGAAAAAAATACTAATAGACCGTAATACTAAATGATGATAACATATTGGAAACGTAACGAATATAGCTCGCTCAAGGCTTTTCAGGTCCGATTTTTCTGTAGCAAGTAATAATGAAAAAGGGCAGACCTTAGCCCTCTTCGGCTCTAATGTTCGTACTATTAAGCTTTTCCTCTTAGGATTGGTTTTTTTTTTTTTTTTTTTGAACAAACGATATTATTTATATTAAAGGGAGGGGTAGGCTTAGCCTTATAGTGTGCTAGTAATAATTTAGTTCAAATTCTCATTTGGCGAGAATCGAATCTATGACCTCTCACTTACAAGTAAAAAGAAATATCATTAGACTGTAGAATTAAGTGACATGTTTCTCGTTGAAATTGATGTATCAACTTTTACTACCAAGTAAAAGTAAGCAAACGTGTGTGGTGTACGTTTTAATCTTTCCGTTAGTGTGCGAATACTTTGGCTTCATCAGTCCTTCCATTGAACAAACTCACCCTCCCAAAAAATAATAAAACTAAGTGGCCTACAACTTCAACACAATGATATTGGGCTTACTCGAAAGCCCAATTGCCCACCAAAAAGGCCGAAGAGCCCCTCAAATAAATCCGGGCTTTTGTTTGCCCAACCTTCCCGATAGGGCCCACTAAAAGAATTGCTCAGAATCATCAGCAGCCCATTAGCAGAAGAATAGCCCACCCGCGTACTTATTTTGTTGGGTTCTTCTGTGGCCTTGGTCGGTTGATTTTTCTCACAGTCGCAGTGGCAGTCTCTCTCACCTTCCAAAGTTCGGCAGTTTTTTCTTTCAGCTTTGTTTTTCTTCCAGAGAGGGCCAAAGGTAATCATTCTTTAGAATCTCAGTTTCCAATTTTATTTTTCTTTAAACTAATTTCCAATTTCTTGTTTATAATCGCGGCACTGTGGCAATATTTCACATTTGGTTTATTTATTTATTTTTGGGTCTGTCATATAATATGTGTGTATATATAAGAGATTAGGTTGATATTAAATTTTAATTCAAGTTTCAAACTTTGACCAAGCAAAAGTAAGTGAAATTTAATCCTAGTTTTTTTGTTTTCGAAATTAATAATTTATAGAGAGGATGGTAATCAAATTAGGAATTCAGCAGTTTCAGCTGAAATTTAAATTTAAGAGGAAGCATATAGAATTATTACTAAAAATGTGGAGTCGATGCCTCTCAGTTCTCATGGATGATAAAGCTGTAATATTATATGGTTTACAATGGATAGTGTTATTCACACACCTATTTTTACCGCCCACACAGCCTTGTTAATTTTTAGGCCATTGATTCGATAGTTGGAAATTGAGAGGGGTGTGTGACAAGTAAACATGAGTGGGTGGATAGCACCACCTTTTTACAATCTTGGAGTTGGAGCCCAGGTTTGAATTCAAGAAATTGAGAAACTAAGGCCTGTTTGTAACTATTTCGTTTTTAGTTTTTATTTTTTTGTGCTAGAGATAGAAGGAAAGTTTGTGAGAAAAATGAGGAATGGAGAAGGATGACGGGAAGTGGTGAGAGGGAAGAGAGAGATTATACAAAAACAAAAACTTGAAAGTGAAACAACCTAAACTTATTTGTTTTCAATTTTCGGTTTTTAGTTTTCGTTTTGCTTGTCATTGCGTATACATTCCTTTCACATTTCTTCCGCCATTATTCTTTCACCTTTCTTCATTTCTCCTTTCTTCCACATATTTTTCCTCTATCTCTAAAAGCAAAATTGTTATCAAACGGGCCCTAATTCTTCGTCAAGGGGGTAGCTTGCATGCAGTTCTTAGCATGTAATGTAGTTTGAGAAGTGAGGTGGTTTTTGATGCATTAGGAAAGAATTTGGGAAGACTATTTGCAGTCGATAGGAATAGGATCGTCTTCTTGTTCAACAAAGTTATAGAATTACACTGGACAATGTGAGTGCAATGGTTTTCGTTTATATACTTTACGTTTCCATCTAATAAGCCTGTAATGCTTTTCTATGCACTTGAGATTTTCTTCCTTCTGTCAGACCTCTTCAGTGGAAGCCCGAGTCCAAGGTAGGGAGAGAGTCCAGCATCAATGAAGGCTATAGTGGTGAGCGCTCCAGGTGGACCGGAGGTCCTCCAACTACAAGAAGTTGAAGACCCAGAGTTCAAAGACGATGAGGTCCTAATAAAAGTTGAGGCCACAGCGCTGAACCGAGCTGATATCCTTCAGAGGAAGGGCCTGTACCCACCACCCCCGGGTTCCAGCCCTTACCTGGGTCTTGAATGTTCTGGAACCGTAGTGGCTGTTGGGAAACACGTCTCACGCTGGCAGGTCGGTGATAAAGTGTGTGCTCTTCTTACTGGAGGAGGGTATGCTGAGAAGGTGGCTGTTCCAGCTGGACAAGTACTTCCTGCCCCACCCGGTGTTTCTTTGAAGGATGCTGCTAGTTTTCCTGAAGTTTCGTGCACTGTTTGGTCAACTGTTTTTATGATGAGCCGGCTATCTGCTGGTGAAACATTTTTGGTTCATGGCGGATCAAGTGGAATTGGTACGTTTGCAATTCAGATAGCTAAATACCTGGGAGCAAAGGTGTTTATCACAGCTGGAAGTGAAGAAAAGTTAGTTTTTTGCAAGGATCTTGGAGCTGATGTGTGTATCAATTACAAGACAGAGGACTTTGTTGCGCGGGTGAAGGAAGAAACAGGTGGCCAAGGCGTGGATGTCATCCTGGATATCATTGGGGCAAACTATTTCCGTCGAAACCTTGACAGTTTAAGCTTTGATGGGAGACTTTTTGTGATCGCGACCATGGGTGGTGCTGTAACAGAGCTAGATCTTCGTGTTGTACTTTCAAAGCGCCTGACCATCCAAGCAGCAGGTTTGAGATACAGAAGTCCGGAAAACAAAGCAGCGATTGTTAGGGAGGTGGAGAGCAATGTGTGGCCTGCAATCGCGTCTGGCAAGGTGAAACCGGTGGTTTACAAGTATTTTCCGTTATATGAAGCGGCAGAGGCTCACCGGCTGATGGAAAGTAGCAAGCATATCGGAAAGATACTGCTTGTTCCGTGATGATATGAATGTTAGTCGCTTTAACGGAATGGTTCGGAGTGTTCGGAGCTTGTGAGCAGCCCGGGTCCAGTATAATGCTTGGATATGCATGTTCTGTGTGGCAAATGTTTAAGTTGTAGTACTTTCGTAAATACGATAAATAAATCTGAGGTTAACGGATTATTCGGTTTGTACAATCTGATGCATTAGAGATGAACCAAAAATTGCAAACCACAAACAATTTCCCATTCCTTTTATATAGGTCACAATTACAAAATACAAATGTGTTACATATTACAAACCGAAAATTGAACCGAAAAAATCCAAAAATTGAACCAAAAATTGCAAACCACAAACAATTTCCCATTCCTTTTATATAGGTCACAATTACAAAATACAAATGTATTACATATTACAAACCGAAAATTGAACCGAAAAAATCCAAAAATTGAAATACATGTGGAAGCAAATAAAAGAATTTGACCTGCGTGCTGAGCTTTAACACTACTATCCGTGATAACTACAAGAGCCGGAGCCGCCGGCAATTCAGAAAAAGAGAAAAGGAGAGAAGAAAATCACTCTTCAGGCAGTATCTCAATCAATACCGATACTAACCACGGAGCTATGTTCATCGAGAGCAAAATGCTCGACAGAAAACAAGGCACCACAGAAAAAACACAGATCAAAATGAATGAATTGCAAGTCAGGATGCAAATAAACACAGTAAAAGCACTCGTTCTATTGACTTCGGCCTCTAGAATAAATCAGCTTTCCTCTTCTGCATGTCTTGCTTCCACTTTGGCAGTTGATAGAAAGCATCTTTCGGCATCCCAAATATAGTCTGAAACTCCTCGTCAGAGAGATAGGTCTGAAAAACCAAGCCGACGATATGTCACTATGATTTCAAAGCAGATATTGATGAAAATGACAACATTCACACAAGACCAACCTCTCTTCTCTTAAAATCAATGCCGGTTACAGGATTGTCAGATTTAGCCCTCAGTTGGTCATAACTGAATGTACTGCGACTACTTTCACTCTCACTCTTGTCCTGCAGTGTCTTTTGTTTTGAATCATCCTCACTGCTTTCGGAAGCAGCTGCAGCTTCACCTGTTTCCTTGACTTCAGGAAGTTCCTGAGGACCCTCTGTTTCAAAAAAAATAAAATAAATAAACAGTTTCATTTTTTGCATCAAATCCTGAGGACCCAAATACATCAAATCCGTTCGCTAAACATGCATATAATGCATAATCATAAGTATTTCTACTTTCTTACCAGAAGCACTAGTTTCTGAGGGAGGGCTTTGCACAGGAGAAGCATCTGGTGTTAACTTACTCTTTTCAGCTGTAAGAACATTTGAAAGTGCAGCAACTGCTGCAGCTCTTTGTGTTCCTTGACCTGATGTGGACGGCTTGGGAAGAGAAGGTTTGTTTCCAGGGGATGAATTAAATGCAGAAGATAAAGCAGCTAAAGCTTCTGCTCTTTGCCTTGGTCCTCCTTCACTCGATCCATCAGACTTATCCTGGCCCTGTGATTTTGTGGCAGTTGAATTATTGAATATAATGCCTCAGAAATATTGATCATGGATCATTAAAAAAAGGAGAAGTGAAAGGTTAAAAAGTGCTAAGAAACAACACTAAGTCAAAGATGGATAAAGATCGAATAAAAAAGCTCCATGTTACAGATTAATCTTAGATCTAGCATATCCTAAAGCAAAGAGGGATAAAGGTCGAATAAAAAAGCTCCATGTAACAGCTTAATATCAGGTTCAACTTGTCATAATGCAACATTCGAAAAACCTAAGGGATGTTTGTATGCACACCCACTTCCTTAGTTGATTATTCCACAAAAGAATGATAACATGAAAAGAGCATAGAGAGTGAAGGGAGGATGAGATGGGAAATGTACACTTTCTAATGCAACTTTCTGTAAGTACTTAACTAGGATGAAGGTTCCTACTATTCATTCATGGAATGAATTAAAAGTTCTGCTTGTCTGCACACCGCATGTGAAGACATGACAACACGGCAATAGCATCTACTACAAACACAAGATGCTGGTACAACAAATTTTATTTACCGCTTGGGATGACTTTCCGGAGGATGGATTGAATGCAGATGATAAAGCAGCTAAGGCTTCAGCTCTTTGCCTTGGTCCTCCTTGGTTCCCAGTGGACTTATCCTGATCCAGCAACAGATATCCGTTCTCCGTGAATTACAGAAGGATAATAAATGATAACGCTAAATTTTTTTACAAAATTTGATAGATTTCAACCCTTAACGTTGTTCAATCATTTCGAACTGTTATAAGAAGAACATTATTCCGGTAACTAACTTATAATGAGAATCTTAAGACATGATATGATCATGGTTCCCTCGTATATACTAGACAGAATGTATCATATAGCATTTCGCACACATGTATAAGAGGAGATTACGATGCAACGTGTTTGATAATATACATTGCTTACCTCCACAGCATGGCCAATTCCAAAGAGTATTGACACCTTCTTGAGGAATGAGTTTCCTTGAACCTACATTGAGTGTAGATATACTGTAAGAAAATTATATATTAAACCGAATATTGTAATGCATCCGTATAAAGTCCTTTCAATTAAAACAGTTGATATCTACAAAGTTTTTTGACACTGTCATGCCACTTTGCTTCACACTTTACCTATCAAAATAATGTTTTCATCACAAAAGTTTTGGTCCGCCTCTAAAATTATTTAATGAAATGTCTGGAATCTCAAATGCACTAGCAAGTGTAGCAGAAACAAAGTCATATTTTAGATGATTATCTCTGACATGGTTATTACACTGAAGAGGGAGAGAATGTAAGCACATCATCAATCAGTAATAATTTACCCAGAAAAATATTGTTGATCGACTCGTATGTTATTACCAAATTAGACTTCTAGGCTTTTGTTTTATTTGAGAAGATAGACCTCTATGCATATTTAATCCCTACTGCTATATGATATTCTATACGTAATGATCCCTAAACCAATTCTCTTCCCACCTAGGCAGTTTATCACTTACCTATTTGTTATGCCACTTCCCTATTTGTTATGCCATTTGCACAGCATTATCATTTACAGTATTCTGCACATATATTTATCGTCGCTTAATTTCATTCTAGTTCAAAAGACTAGTTATTTCAATTAATGGGTTAAAGATGAAATGGAAAAGTAAAAACCCCTCCAAAAATTCCAAATTACAGAAACTTGTTGCATTCAACTTAAATGTGTTTTGATTATTCCTTGCTTGACTAGGAATTCCTTAAAATTTATCTAAATAAGAGAGAGAGAGAGAGAGAGAGAGAGAGAAAGAGTCTGTTGTTTTAGAACATACAGTGGCTTTTGAAAGATCCCATGAAAAGTATGTTGTAAAGAAGCGAGGTTCATTTCCTTCAGTAACTTTGTATAATGGTACATTAGGAGCCAACCCCTCCAGAGATGCCGCCAGCACTATGTATTTCTGCACAAATATGAATGGAAAATGTAACAAATGAAACATATGACAAAAATGCAAATATTTTAAGGTATACCTTGCCAATTTCAAAAGCATTTTGCTTTTCTTTTGAGTCTACACATTGACCAACCCAAACAAACACTTCGGCATGTGTGTCAAGTATAAGGATATCCTCTGTCAACAGATCATCCTGAGTGAAGTTGTAAATTTCCTCCACCTGCAGAATTAAAAATGAAGACAGGGATTAGAAGCACTAGCGCCCACATAAAAATGGAAGCAAATACCGATTACACTCAAAAGGCCAGATAACTCACCTGAAACTTTCCTGGGGAATAAATGAACAATAAAAAAGACACAGTTAGAATGGAACTAGCTTTACAAATAAAATTTCCAACTTAGACATCATTTCATGTCATAAAATTCTACCTCTGTTGAACGAGAATGAGAACAGGTGGGGATCTCTGACAATCTCCTGAGAAACTTTATTGCTGGTGTAACTTTGTTTCCCTCCTAGAGCAAACCAGAAGGATGAGCTCTCAGTTCCCTCTTTAGCATGTTTTAGGGTAACTCCTGGCTGTATTAGCAAGGCATATAAGGCTCAAATAGATGAACATTATATCGGTGGCAATACTGAAAATCAAAAGCCTAAGATATAATAAATACTATTAAATTACATTAAGCATGAATACTGAACACTGTCCATCGATTGTACATGCCCAATCAAGTTAACGTGTACAATCATCTTATTCTTTTATCATCAAGTCGAAACAATGCCAGAGCCCAGTATACCATTGTTACTTGAAGCCTGACTGAAATACATTTACTAAGCATACTTGGTTTTATTGACTCTTCTGGATGGTGCATCTATGATAAGTTTGAAGGCAAATAAGTTACGTAAGAGGGCAGAGAGAATAGAAATCTTCAATACGAGTATACCTTCAAAAATTCTGCAAGTTTTGCTGCTAACTGTTGCTGCTCAACGGTGCATTGATTTCCATTCCAGGCAAACATTGAGGACCCAGATTGCAGAATGAAACACTCGGTAGAGTTCAATGATGTTGCCACCTAAACAAAGAAATCTGTTTTAATATAAAAGAAAAGACTATTTAAAAAGCCCAAAGAGTACAAAGATTATGTCCAGCAGTGAACAAGTTGTCTAACATCTAAACATAGCATAGAAAACATTCTCTCGAAAGTATGCAATTCTATTTGAATCTTCCTACTACATATATGAAGAAAACACAGATAACTCTATTTCATCTTCCCCTCAATAAATCGCATCCTACATTTCATATACCAAATTATTCTCTATACCGGCCAACTACAGCATGCTAAAAAATCCGGTGTGAAAAGCATTCAGTGGTAATCTTAAAGATGCATACTACTAGGGAACAGATAAGTCTCCAATACGAGGAATTCAGGGGTAATCTTTGATTCCTTTTCTGTTTTTCCGGCTTTTAAAGTTTTACTATGTACGACGTCTGGGATTCACTACATTTTTTGGCATTGGGTCCTCCATGGTCATCGTACCCATCCAGCAAGGAAATTAGCTATAAGTAATATCAGAGACGGAGTGCTTATCGCTTTCTAAGGTCAGTCTCCCAAAATACGTGAGCATATATTGTCATGTAGGATACGTGATTACAACATATGAATTGGCTCCTACCGCATCAACTTGCACTGCTTTACTGTTATGAACATAAGTTCCAGATAACCGAAAGAGTGCCACACAATCTGTGGTATAAGTTTCATCCGTCAGACCTTTCTCCTCAACCGATTTCTTATAACCAGAGCTCAAGCCACCCTGAAGAGGAAATCAATCAAATTAAAATGATAACAATAAACCTTCAAATGAAACTAATATGGAGAGGTCTTTGCACCAGACTAAAGTCACCAAACTGAACAATACCTTCAGGACCACCATAGGCTGAAAAAGTGCTACTAACTGTGGTGGCTCTTTACCTTGAAATATGTGACCCTGCAAAAGGCCCCTATTATATATAGGTCCGTAAGACACATTCTCCAACATTGACTAAAGACAATATGATACCTGCACTGGTCTTCCCTTCAGCGAGTTGGACATTGTGCTGGCCAAATGAGAAGCAGTTTTCTGGTCCTCCTAAAATGGGTTATATAATGGAAATTCTTTAGCAGTCCTCTTACAAGGTTTTCTAATATGGTGCAGAAACAAAATGCAGAAGGATGGTTTCACGAAATATTAGACAAGCTATTACCAAAAAGGTAAAAAAATAAATGGAAAATCATTAGAATGAAGATAAGAACATGACTCTTTCTTCTGATATCCTATGTTAGTCAATCACTAGGTTTAATAATAGCTTGAACAAAGAGGAGAACAAACAAAGACCCAGACCAAACAACATGTTTAGTGCACCGAAAACCCTTCCAGATAATGCAAACCACGCTTAGACAATAAGCTGTCTCTTTCCTATGTGAATGAAACTTCGTTTTTTTATTTATTTACTCAAAAAATCAAGAAGTGGACATGAAGTACACTGAAACAAGAAGACCAGGAATAACCACCGAAAATGTCCGATACTACCAACCTATTGTTCCTACTTCAGGTCAAAGCAAACTTAACCAGTACAATAATCATCCAAGTATCCAACTATAGCTCAAAGAAAGGAATATCTCCAGATTCTGCAGCTACTGGAGCCCACAAAGAAGCCAAAAACCGCACCCTCTCCACAACAAAATCAAGCGTTCCTCCTATCTTCAAGAAATGACATTCAACTCTAACCAAAACACCGAAAGACATCAAAGACACAACATTTTTTTCCGCAACCCTCACCCACCCCCAACCCCAATTGAAAGCACAATGCATGTAAGTAAGAGGTTGAAGTGCAGGTCCCTTTCTTTATAGTTTATATACAAGAATTCTGACAGAAAGTAAAGTGATTCTTTCAATTATTTGAATCCTAACCCGGAACAAAGTGAATTACCTCAATACTATCCTTTCCAAACCAACAGCACAAAAAGTAATCTTCTTTTCTATCACCAGAGTGGTAAGTATAGAGAATGATATAGCAATCTCCACTGTAAAATTTACCAATATCCTCCTTAGGTAAAGGAGTCTTGGCACCACCATTGATACACCATACCTGAAAAAAAGAAAACAGAATACCCAATATTCCAAAAGATATCAACAAGGAAGCCTAATTAATTAAGTCATTACTAGAAGCATGATTAACATATATCATTATCAACTAGACCTCCATCTTTCCACCTCCTTCTAGCAAAGGTGGGACCTCCTCATTTACGGGAGCACCTTTTGCAACACCCTTTAAACCAACACCTTGTTGCTTCAGCAAAGCTAGCAGACCGTGAAGATACAATATTAGATAAAGCCAATCAGAAAGTATTACAGTACACTTTACAACTCAGGAGTTGATAATTACCTGCTACTTTTCCTCTTCCCTCCTCAGTTCCAGAAGTTGCTGATCCTGAAGGCCAAGAATCGAAGTTGGACTTGAATGAATGTGTTTCATAACCTTGAATAACCCGGGTTATTCGTGTTGACTTTGGTCTATTCTGAGTAGCAAGAAACTCCTGGTGACAAAATTCAGAGTTACATTTATGTAAGTCACTCATAAATCTATCTGCTTGCCAGCATGGATAAAAAAGTGCAGGTCACTACCTCAGCTGCTTGGCTAGCAGATTTTCTGTCCTCCACTTGTGTCACCCGGCCAACCCAAACAAACACCTCTGAACCGCAGTCCAGTAAGTAGCATTTGTTGTTTTCAAGCAAGGATTTGGCTAGTTCACCTTCTACAGTCTTCACTTCACCCTCGGTTATGCTTCAAAAACCAGTAAGTTTAAGTTAGAACCTTATGAGGATTATACCAGAGATTAACAATAAGTAGATATTTTGTTTCCGGCACACAGACAGACACTGACACAGAAACAAGTGTCTGGAGCATGTGCTTACTAGGCCACCTAATACATGCAGATGCACACACATGAAAAGCATATGACCATACGTGTGTGTGTGTGGAGGGAGGGAGCAAGAGAGAGAGAGAGAGAGAGAGAGAGAGAGAGAGAGAGAGAGTTCACTATTTACTAAAAATCAAGAGTTTTAGACAGACAATAGCAGAATATGAGAATACCTGTACAGTATAGCAGGAGTAGCTTCTGGAACCACATCATCTTCAGTGATTACCTTCTTTCCAATTGGAGCAAATCCACCCATTAGGACCCAAAACTCACCAGAATCGGACTCTGTATCTAGCTTCCCATCATCTGCCATAATGCACACCATTTTTGACAAATGAAATAAGTAATGAGCGAGAATGGGCAACACAGATAGCAAACATGTAAGGTAACAATTCTGGTTGGATAATGCGGGTATTTTGAGTACCAGAGAAAATGGAAACATGATAAAAGTTCTGTGGGCTTGTATATAATATACATTGTCACACCGTATATGCACTTACCAACTATTGCAACATCACAGGTTCCATGATGATACTTTTCCTTCAAAAACTGGATTACTTCCAAAGCCTTCGCCCTCTCCTGGATATTAGAATTTGCTCCGTTGAACTGAAAGATCTTGTTTTCAGTGTCCAGGATGAACACATCATCGTGATTCAGAGAGGAACGCGCAAAAGGAACCTACAAAATCAGAATACAGGGTGCAATTCCCTTTAAACTCTATCAGAATCACATTAAGGAAACTTAATTGAACTCTAACTCTCCAGACCAAAAGAAAAAGAAAAACTCTAAACCCTCGTGTCAGAAGAACAGGATACCTGCTTCATTCTGACAACTCGTTTTCCTTTGCAGATATACAACCGAGTTTCAAATTCATCTTCCTCAACCTTTTTAAATCCAGAAGCAACACCCCCCTCCAATGGTATAATACAAGGTTTGAAGTATGACAAAAATTTGTCAGATTCATGGCCTTGAATTTCACGATGTTGCACTGCACGTCCTCCAAGAACTGCATCTAGCTCAACAGTCTTAATAGCTGCTGTCCCAGCTTCATCCTACAATAAAAAGTCACTACATAAACCATTTTTCTCTTACTTCTACATATAACATCAGAGGAAATTCAAGGCAAGTTCAAACTTTGAACATACACACCTGACTTGTATCTTTCCCAATCCAGAAGTGTATGTCATAGAGATAAGCGCCCCCTTTGTTTTGTGTTGTCTACAAACAGTCAGAGAAGTGCATGAGTTATATGAAAGAAACAAGCCTCCTTGAAGGTAAGCCTTTTTATTCCAAAGTATGATATGTCCAGCAGAATCCCTGACTTCCCCTTTCTTAAGGTGGAACATGCAAAGAAAGGGAAAGGCATAAAAAAAGATTTGATAGAGAGCCATGGTAATAGTGTGCACCATTTTGAGTGCTAAATTTATTAATCAGTGCAAACCTCCACCATTTTTTTATTAAACCTTTTAAACCCGAACGTAACAGCTGATAGAGGGAGAACATCAAAAAGTTATTCAAGAAGAATGACATCAACTTATGGATCACCCAAAAAAGAAAAATTGAACTTTTGCATTTCTCGGAAGAAAATTACTGACAAATTTCGTTTTTTTTAAGCAATCTTGTGAGGAAAAAAGCATAAATAGTAAAGGCTTCGAAAAGAAAAAAAGAGAGTAAATAAATAGACAAACCTGCAAGACAATATAAGAATCCCCCATATAGAATTTTCCATGTTCAGATTTTGGCAAAGGCACTGGTTGGAAGTCCTCAATTCGCCAAATTTCAGTCCCTCTATAACATGTTAAGCTTCACGACCTCAAATGTGGAAACACAACATGATTAACATATTTAAAAGATAACCAGAAAGACTTGTATATTCCCAAAATTGACACAAAGTATAACCTACTTTACATTTTTGTCTATAACAACAAAACCTTCACTCAGCTCTTTAGGTTCGGCCACATGAACCCTAGCCTCTATTCCAACTATCCTGGGCCGTAATTTTGTTTTAAGTCACTTTTACTTCATTTTTTTTATTTTTTTTATTTCAGTGGATGCAAGATAGTAAGATTGTTCCTGTCCCTTGTTATAGTTTTTAAAAGTAATATTTTGCAGACTCCATTTTTATTGAGTCACCATCTCTGGTAAAAGGATACAATCTTTGACCTGCTCCCTGAAAAGCCGGATCCAAAGCTTTTGTAGAGCTAGACATTGCCTGAAATCCCTTAAGAATGCTTCTTTCAGTAAGGCAGAATTACTTTGAATCCTGCGTCCCTATAAATTCCACAAGATTTCACTGCAAGGAAAATAAAAAACAAAGACAAATCATCAAATGGAGATTTGTTACCAAGCCAAAATGAATACTACGTCATTTTCAAAAACAGTATAGAGATAACTTATGTCAAAAGTAATAGATTTGCTTCAACAATTCTTATGTACAAATGTCAGTGTTGATACTCAACATAGAAATTCAATAGAGATGCTACAGTGAATCTTAGCACTACGACAATATGAGTTGTTAGAATAAGATCTCTTCTCATGATGTTTAAATTGTGAGCACTTACATCTTGTGGGCACTTACATCTGGGATCACTATATATCTCCATAAAGCTACACTAACCGGTTATTGATTTTCGTATACAACGAACTTCAAATCAAACAGGTAAAAGTGCTTGCCAAATAAGACATAACACCAACATGAGTAAGTTAACTCATGCATGAGAATGAAGGTCAAGCGCTGATGCACTGTATTTACATTTTAGTTGTCTAACTTGGTTGGTATGTCTCAATCCATTTACGTCAGGTTCTAGCTTATGTGTTGGCCATTGAACCTTGGATCTGATTCTCAACTTACCCCACTTGATAAATTCAGCTAGGAAACACAAATCATGTTGGCAAAACATTTATAAACTCTCTTCGCTGGACTGATTCTCAAGTGAGATATTCCAAAAGGCATTTCCCAGACTACATTAGTATCACGGACTCCCCTTCCCTGGACTAATTTCTTGACTGAGATACATCCAGAGGTAGTTCACGATAAAATTAGTAGGTATCTAACTCTCATAAGTGCATCATTGCTTCCACCTCTTGCTTTTCATATAGCTAGAATTTGGTCCATATATGTTCCAGAGAACTTAGAAAACCTCTTCTCAGTTCATGATCCTCCTCTTCAAGCTTCGTCCTAGTAGGCTTTCTTTAGGTAAGCCTCCATTCATAGCGATACAAAGACCTAAATTCCACCCTGCTGGCTACCCAGACCACATCTTTAGAAGCTTATCACCTTTTTTCTCCTTCTTTACATGTGAGCATGCAGATGTCAGTAGAAAATATGCATCAAAAGGGAAATATACTTCAGCCAATTAACAAACTGCCCTAAGATTTTTCATCTTTAATACTACTCGCTGGTGTTACAGTGGAGCCGCTTCTGTACCTAAAACTAGTCCCTGACACTACTAGTTTATAAATTTCTACATAGATGTTGCTTAGATTATCTTTGTACAGTTATATAAACTAGTGGTGATATACGGTCCTTCCCTTGAAGTTCGCACTTAGATCATCGTGACTTAACTTAATCATAGATGAGTGATCAATCCATAAGAATATACTTATGGCAAAAAATTTCTGGAAAACAAGTTTGGCCTCAAAGCTGATCCTATTGGTCTAATATAACTTTATGTTCACATATATTATATATTGGGTAATATTAAATTTTATATCTTTACTACTGTCCATTCAACTTGGATCATAGGCTATTTAAACCACTGGCTTCAAGTACGCATTCAGGCTGAAGAATCATCATCGGTAACTTCTCAGCCAAGAACAGTCATCCAACTCATCTTATTTTTTACTTCGGTAACAAATATTTGATACTTCCAAACAGGCTGTATAGAATCCATCTATGAAACATCTGCTAGGTGTGTAGGACTGCAGACTCAAGCACTGCAATTAATTACTGAACCCACTTAATGCGAATAATCCTCCAGCACAGCTTTCCTATGGACCAAAACATTCCTGAATCCAACTGAAAAGAAGCAAACTGAGAATATCTTGGCAAATTTAAACGTCCCTTCCAGTATTCAAACAAGTGAAAAACTACCCAAGAACTGAATATGACTTGTGATCAACATGACCACAGAAAAGGCAATAGGACTGGATACTTGATTACTATCAAATCCAAAGTTATAAGACCTACCGGGAACATGCCTGATTATTCAACAGCAAAATGTAGTGAGATTAGAGTGCACTCGCACACACGCTCAGGGACACGCAACGATTTTACCAAATGAAAGAACCCAGATAATATTTCATCAAAAGGCATTCATAACAGAACCTAGATAATATTAAGATCTTCTAGTCATCTGTTCAATCACTTACTCAATCATTTCAACTCAGTCGATTCGAGCTTTAGATAAACTCAAATCAAGATAAGGTTATGAAAAGAAAAGGTCAGATCAAACAATACCAACAAGCATAGATGATCAAACAACTACCAAGCAATAAGGAGGCAAAACCAACATACCCCATCAGATCAAGTATTCAACTTTATCCAAAAACACAAACAAAAATAAAAACAACCAGAGCCTATTAAATTTGATACAAACCCATAAAAACCCAGATAACTAAAAACGAGAATTGCAAACAAAATAACGATCAGAGCAAAAATGGAATAGCTCTGAAAACAAAGAGATCCAGATAACATACAGAAAAATGGGTATTGATGGAGCTGAAAAGAGTATGAGATCGATCAGAGAGAGAATTGACGTACCAGAAATAGGATCTCTGTGTGTAATTGTAATGATGGAGGGTGGTGGGGGTGAGAGATAATACAGACAGAGAGAGAGAGATGGGAAAAAGGGTTATGGGAGGGACGAGCTGCAAGAGCTGGCAATAAAGAGAGAAAGAAGAAGATAGTTGGAAAGAAAAGTGAATTATTGCTGCGGGTGTGCGCTTCTCTCTCTAACTTTTTCGTGAAGCCTTTGAGATTTGTAATTTCAGATATATAGAGAGAGAAAAAGAGAGAAAGCAGAGTTTCACAGAGAGAGAGAGAGTGTTAATGGAAATATATATGAATTTTGGTGATGAAATGGTGAGAGGAGGAAGAAGAGAGCAACAGAAATGAAACGACGCAAAGCGGAAGCGGAATGATAGAAAGGTTAGAGAGAGAGAGAGAGAGAGTTTATGGTTTTGACAGGCAGGTCGTTAATTAAGGGCAAAGATCCGGTGACGGTGGCACCGGCCATGTTGGCTATCCTCTTCGCTTATTTCGAATTTCTGATTATTTGGCTTACTTTCCAATTTGGACTTTTTATTTCTCTTTCTTTTTTTTTTATTATAATATTTTAATCTTTTTTTTTTATTCTTTTTGCCTTGGATTTATAGCATTACACCTTTTTCCCAACCTTTTCTTTTCTACGTAGAAATTTTGTCTACTTTTTTACATGTTGAATGGAAAATTCTTTGATTTTTACTGATTTCTTTGTACCAAAGCAAAATGAAGGGAAAAATAAAATCACAAATATATATATATATTGTTGAAGGAAAATTCAGAGAGTTAAGCGAGGGGCAGGCGACAAGAGAGAGAATAGAGAGCTCATTTGTTGTGAATTGCACACGCTTCTTTGTGGCCTTATTCCTTTACTTATACTAATTAGGGGGCTATACTTGCCTCGCAAGTAATACAAGTCATAAAGGAAATAAATCTCCTAAATCTTATTAGAATATATTTCTAGATTTACACAATCACATTCCTAAACAATATTAACTATAACACTACCCTTTGAGTGTGTAAAACTTAAGAATTAGCCACATCAAGTCTTCACCAATGATTTTTTGGAGTCTTCAATCGGCATAGGTAGTTACGCATGCAAATCTAAATTAAGGTTTCATACAAGGAAACATAAGCTCACAAAAATCTGACAATGGTAAAACCAAATGCGAGACATAACTCAAAGTCTCGAAGGAAAGGTGAGAAATGCAAAGTCAATGTTTAATCAAGCAGCGATTAATGCTCACATCGAGATATGACCAACCTAAAATAGGTGCCTCGTCAAAACCTTGCTAGGTTAGCAAAATTCATGAACTAAAGGAAACAAAGTACATTAAGGTTAACTTGGTATCTATTAGATACTCCCTCTCAGATCGATAAAACTCTTTAACTATACTACAAGTAGTGTAAATCAAACAGTTTAGGCATTCTAATTCCTCGAATAAGCTACAAAAGAGTATACTTCGACAATAACTTGGTGAAGAGATCACTGAGGTTATTTTGGGAATGAATTCGGTGATTTCAATATTTTGATGCTTTTGATGCTGAAGAAAGAAGAAGAACTACGACGCAATGTGCTTGGTATGATCTCCTTTAATGTATCATTTTCGAATATGGTTTATACATGCAGAATTATCTTCAAAGATCATTGTTGGTACGTCAATGATAGACAACAATTCATGTGTGCTTCGAATATGCTCGACAATGGCTCTTAACCACGTACACTTATGAGCAACCTCATAAAGAATGAGTATCTTAACATGGTTTGAACCCAGAGCAACTAGGGTTTGCTTTGTAGACCTCTAAGATATTGTGGTCCACCAACGGTAAAGACATAACTCATTTGGGATCATGTTCAATGCAAGTCGAGTACGTACCCAGTATTAGCATAACAAAAAAGGCAAGGATCAACTTAAGGACTGAGAGGGGCGACGGTCATGCATGAAGATGAATAGGGATAAAACAAGCCCAAATCCATTTTACCTTTAAGTAACATATAATGTCTGTAACACATTTCAGTGTTTGTGTATAGGCGCATGTTTGTATCTTGCTAAAAGATTCACAACGAAATAGATATACGATTTTTTACTGGTATACCAGAATATCGTCAGAACAAGGTTTGATCTCAAGACCAAGCCAATATCAAATTTTCCCAAGATCCTACATCTCAAATTCCAATTTGAGGTATGCTATAATTTCTTAAGCTCCTTAGGAGTCCCAATGAGATTTTTGTCATCGACATAGACTACAACAATCTTGAATCCAGAACTAAACTTCTTAATGGACATGCAAGGGCATAGTTCATTATTCACATATTCCTAACTAGTCAAATACTTGCTTAGACAATTATATAATATACGTCTAAATTGCTTCAATATATAGTGAATGCCTCAATCGAATAGAGAGGGGTTCCTTGGTTTAGAACTATTTGACCAATGAATGTAAGCCCATTAGGAAACTTTCACGTAGATTTTTCGTATCAAGATCCTCATATACACACATTAGTTGCATGTCAAGTCTATCGAAAACTACTAGACTTGCAAGCCTATGCCTGACAATTCCTGATACTACCCGATAACCCCCCGATTCATTATCGGGTAACTCAATAAGCACATGTTAAGATAACGGGTTGGTTCGGGTATACACGTGGGTAACACGATACATGATAAGCAAAATATTAATTTTATAACCCTAAAAAATACTATAATTATATATATATATATATATTAATTTAACAATTTTATAACCCTAAAAACTATAATAATTATATATATTAAATTAAATTTAAAAAATTGGTGACCATTGGATCGGCTAAGATTTAATCTCAGCTATCCATTGTGGATTAGGTTGGAGGCTATCCTTATCTTCTTTCTCATTCACTCTGATCTCTCCAGTCCAGACTTACTCCTGCGCCGTCTCCTTAATCCACATCTCTCTCACATCCTCCTCCGTTCACTTCCTTCAACTCGACTCCGGCAACCACAAGAAAACCGCACACAGGCAAGCACACGCTAAAGGTATGCATTTTGTATTTTTGGGTATTCTGTGTTTTTTTTCAAAAACTAGTGATTTAGGGTTTACCTTAAAATTAAAACTAATGGCTAGGGATTCTCTGGGTTTAGGGTTTCATGGATTTTTTGATTTTGGAGATTTTGGAGTTTTTGGGTTGGGGCATGTTTGTAAACATTCAAAAAACCCAGTGATTGAGCAAGCGTGCTTCGTGTTGGCTTTGCAAGCTTGAAAATCACAAAAGGACGAGGCATAAATAGAATCAAGTATTGAAATTTGAGAGTATAGATGTAGTTATGTAAATTAACTTTATTATGTCATGCCATTTAGTTGTATTATAAGCCGTAAGGTGAGATTCATTACTTAATGTCATATATATATATATTGAGGATATGTTATCAGGGGACTGGGGATGTTAGAATTCAGTTAGCCTGTGAGGTAGGCAACGATAGAGTAGTGACGCCCTACCTATTTTTATTTTGCTATAGTAGATGCAATGTCTTAATTATTTGTCCCAAGTATTGACAATTAGCAAGCAGGTCCTTTATATATATATATATATATATATATATATATATATATATATATATTTTATTATTATTGTGAACATTGCGAGTTCATTTGTATCTATGTTTCATTTGGGGTCTATTTACTTGAAGTTAATAAGTGGGGTCTATATTTGTTTTCCAGATTTGGACATGTGGAACAAGCAAAGCAATTAAGCAAGGCTGGAACCTGCAAGTGCAAGGTATTTTTAATTGGATTGTGAATTTGAAAGTAAATTTGAATTGGATTGTGATTTGTGGATATGTGAATTTGAAATGGATATAGATAGGTGAAACTGAATTGGATATGCAAAATTGAAATTGAAATTGAAATATATATGTGAATTTGAATGGATATGGATATGTGAATTTGAAATGGATATGGTATGAAATTGGTATGAGTAAGATTTTACAGTTTTGTTTTTCTTTCTTAAAGCAATGGATGTTGTAGAGCAAGATTTTATGAACCTTAGTGATGAAGGATTAGTGGAAGTTACAATAGGAATACAACCTGATCATGAAAGTGAAAATATAGAAGATACAAATACAAGTCCAGCAAAGAAAAAGGCTAGAGTGATCAAATTTGGTAAGCGAACACTCAAGTCTCCTGTTTGGAAAACTTTCAACAAATTGACTACTATTTTTGAAGATGGTAAAAGTCGTGCTCAATGTAAAGATTGTAAGAAATTGGTAATAGATGATAGTCATCATGGGACAAGTAATATGAATAGACATTTGAAAACATCCCCTGGACCAACAGGTGGATTATTGTTAGTGTCTGAATTTTGTTCCCATAACTTTGATCATGTGGTATTCCATGGCTTATTGGTAGGGGTCATCATCAAGCATAATCTTCCTTTTAGTTTTTCTGAATATGGGGGAATTAGGGCTTTGTTTGCATATATATATATATATATATATGAGAGACTTTGGATACGGTCCCTAACTATGAAATTCTTTGACTGAAACCTTGTTGATTTTCAATTTTTGATCAAAGTCCCTGAAATTAATGTGATAATTTATTTATATGTACGTTACTATATTTTTTAAATTAAAAATTGAAATTTATAGTTGTTTATATTAATGAGATTTTAAATAAAAAACATAATTTGTGGGATTAAAAATGTTAAAATATAAATATACTATTGTGTGTGTGTGTATGTCTAAACATTGGTACATTCATCAAAATTAATAACAAAATTATTGTATCAAAACATGGGTACATTCTTCAAAATCACAAAAATAAAAATAAAAATAAAAAATAAAAAAATAAAAAAAAGATATTAGGCTTAATAAAATTAGTAAATTTCTTCGATTAAACTTAACATGGATATATTCTCAAATCAAAGAAAAAAGAATGTACCCATATAAGTTTAAAAATGGATTAAAAAAAAAATTGAATAGATTATATATATATATATATATATATATATATAAGGGTACATTTTACATATAACAAATTGGTATATTTAAGAATGAGTACATTTTAGGATTAAAATTTTGAAAAAAATTACATGAATGGTAAATATAATTAGCATGGGTACATTTTGCAAAATGGGTACAAATAAATAAAAAAAATATGGGTACAAATACCAATAAAACTTTATAAAATATGGGCACAAAAAGAAATTAATATATGGGTACAAATTAAAACTAAAAAGAAAATTGATACAAATTAAAAAAGGGTTGCAAATTAAAAATGGGTACAAACTAAAACTAAAAATATATGATAAAAAATTTAACCATAAATATAAATATACTAATTGTAACATTTTTAACATTAAATGAATATATTTTGAAATAAAAAATATTTAATTGTTGAAATAATTAATAATGCTATTAATATCAAGGA